TATCCTGGCTGTCACGAGAGCTGTCAGTGCACCGAACTGCCTGCACCATGCGTGCAGTGAAAACGGGTGTTGCAAAACAGGCATCCCATGCTTAGGAAGAACTTTTGAGGCAGATCTTGTTGCAGAGGTGGAGAAATGGTTGGACAGAGCAAATCTCTGGCCATTGTTCGTTATTGCTGGCCTGGCAGAGCGCAGGCTTTAAAGCAGGGGGGATGAGGGACTGTGTTCCTCAAACGTCTGGTGATCCAAAGCTCCTCACTGCCACATCCATCTCGATCTCGATGCTGTTCGGAGGGAGCCCTGTGCAACAGCAGAGGGGCAGCTCTAAACTATCGTAAGCTTGAAGGCAAAGGGAAAGAACAGGCTGAATTTCAGCTGCGTTTCTGCATATTCATGGGGTCTTGCGGAACGCTGCACTGGGCTGTATCTGTGTTTGGTGCATAAAAATGGCTTTGCTGCTCAGACTGTGGATGGTTCGTCTGCCCTGTAGTCTGTCTCGGAGAGGAGTACTAGATGCTTAGGCAAATGAAGTAGAGCATGCTTTGCATGCTTTTATCTTTCAGCCATTGATGTATAGGCTCTTCCTGGACTGGACGTTGCTTATGCAATGTATTGGCTTTAATATTCACTGATGTGCCTACTGTCTGTGAATTTGGCTAATTCCTGTTGAGCCCTGCTCTTGCGTTCTCTGGGATTGCTTTATAAAATATGCATATAAAGGACTGTGATAAAGATCTCCACAACTAAAAATATGTCAGACTGGAATTAGTAATGATCTAGAGCACGTCTGTGTGGTACAGCAAGCACTCCTTTTACATTGGGGCGATCCCAATACAGGCCCTGCTGTCAAAATGTGTTGAAAACTCAAAATCAAGCCGTAACTGCTATGAGTAAGTCGTACCTTGAGTCACACTGTGGAAGATGGGGACCCTTAAACAGACTAATGCCATCTCGTACTCCCTGTGCAGCTTTGGACTGGGAAACATGTATTACAGCAGCTCTCCTGTCCTTTGGGTGCTTCAACAATTAATTTATACCAGCACCTACAGAATGAATGCATTGCTTGTGTTCTGTGTTAGGTATGCAGTGGAGAGAAAAACATAAGATTTTTCCTTCTCCTGACACATGGACACACACCTGGGTCTTCAGAGCCAAATAATGCTGTTTCAGTAGCTGGGAATTGTTGAGAGCTGCATCAGGGTGAGTTTAATTCACCTGGACCTTTGCTACATGGAGAGGAGTTGTAATTAATAGTTTGGGCCCAGATTTCTTCTTTTTCTTGCATTATTACAGCAGCAGCCATTTCTTTAGTTTGATGTCATAAAATGCAACACCCAATTCAACGGAATGCACTTTGAGGTTAAAGGCTCATCTCTGCATTATATCTATATATAAATCAGATCGTGGGCTTGTAGATATTGCTGAAGCCAGCCAGGTAGTATCAAAACTTTCTCACAATTGCAGCTCTTCCAGGTGGGTTGGGTCGTTTCTCAGATCCCACTTTGTTTAGGGTACTTCTGTGAGAGACAGAGAGGCGAAGGATAAGTGTTGGAAATATGATAAAAGCAAGTAGGATTTTTTTGTTTTCTTGGCTTCTGTGTCACTACATCTGAGCCCATTCAAAGTGCTTCACATAATTTCATTACTTGTTTGTTGTTACAGTTGGATGTTCTTGCTTGCTCCTGGATGATTTACTTATTGCACAGACGTGGATATTTGCATTAGAGCCAACTGGCACATGTCTCTGTGATGTACATCAATGGTTTAGATGCATTTATTCTCCTTTTATCATTATATATGTTAAGCGTAGCAGTGGTACATTCTATCAGATTCCAGGGCCACCGCGGGTATGCTTTTATTTGCAAGAGCTGCAGAATGAAGCAGCTGTCTCTTCACCTGCTCCTGAGAGCATGTCAGCACTGACCCTCCCCCAGCCTGTTATCTGACATACAGGTGATGTGAATTCTGATTTATTGCAAATCACAGGTGGGTTACTCCAAGGTCATCCATCAAATAAGAAACAAAATGTAATCACCTGGCTGCAAATTTTTATGTTGCAGTTTAGATAGAGACTGAAAGCACCTTTGTAAATGGAGCTGGAATATTCTGCTGAGCTTCCAGGGTGGAGGAGGTGATTTATTTTTTATTTTCCCCCCTTCAGGCTGTAGCTATATGACTTATTGAAAATTATTAGGGTATTGACATACTCTAGCTAGACAAATTTATTTCCTAGTTGTAAAGTGCTGTGTGTTTAATAAGTTAATGTGGTTGAAGACTGTAGAAATCTCTTTAGCAACCAGCTCACTGGCACCGCGTGAGGTGTAACCTGCGATGTAGAGATGTGGGAAAAAACGTGCTCACAAGTATCTGTTGAGGTGGTGGCAGAGCTGAAGACTGGAGTGGAGGCTGGGGGTTAGAGATTCTGTCCATCCCTCCCACGGGCACTCTCCTGCTCTCCGGGGCTCTGATCAAGGTATTCGAGAAAGTTGCTTTGGTTTTGCTTGTTTCTCCTTTTTGCTTTCTTTTCAGCGTCTTTTCATCAGCTGCATCAAGCTTCAGACTTTCAGATTCTAGGAAATGTGGAATCCCAGGTGTCAAATATGGACCTTGTCAGAAAATTAACATTGCTTATGTAAAGTTTAACCCTTGAAGTGCTAGGGAAGAATAAATTAATTCCTTGCAGCATTTTCATAGAAATATGGTGGCACATTAGACTGCCAGAGCACATATAGAGCTTTGTTTCTGTAAGGTGCTGTACATTATCAGTGTGCCTCAGTGCTGAAAGAATGTATAATTTCATCTGTAGCTGCCTTTCACCAGCTCTGAAACTGCTCCATACTTCCCCCACCCTGAGACTTTATCTTTGTGGAATATTCTGCTTATTTATATTTCCAAGTGCACTGATTGAAGTTACCAGCTGTTGCCCTTTTTCTACTTTTGCTCTCTTCTTCCCCACCATAATTGCATTATAAACTGAGAACTTGATATTTTTATCTAAAGCACTTAACATGGACTCAGTGGCATAGGCAAAAATAGATAATTAGTTGGGCTTGAAGCAAAAGTGGTTGTGTGTATGTACTAGAAATTAGGGCTGTGTTGCTGACATGCTAAGACTTTGAAGAGAGTGTGCTAGGTGCTCTGACATGTAAAAACTTCCCAGTGTAGCTTCCTAGCTCTGGTCCTCAACATCTGTTTGTTTGTTTGTTTTTCCTTTGGAGCCCATTGAATGGGGAGAATGACCTAAAAGGCTGTTGAAAAAAATGTATTTTTCATATATTTGCTCTCTGCCTTTGCAGCTCTGCTTTTCATTTTGAGCTGAAGTCTAGCAAACACATGATGGAAAGGGAATAAGAGATCTTCTGATGTGATGTTCTCAGATATTGATTTTTTTTTTTTTCTCTTAAAATTCTGTTTACAGATTCCTTTTGCTTTAATTATTTGTTTCCTCTTGAAAACAGTACTGAGCTAGCCTGCAGGAGGACCAATTGACAAGCCGTTAGTATACGTAACTAATCCTACTGCATTTTTCCAGAATTTCAGGCAGGGATTTCAAAACATTTTGTAAATAGTAGCCAAGTCCCCTTAAACTTGAGATATGTGCACGCTTTAAATTTTGTGAAGCTGAGCTGGAGTGAACTTGGTGCAGTTGCTCCAGTGTAAAGCGTGGATGGGAATAAACCCTGTATTCTGACTCTTACGGTCAGGGCACCTGATGAAAATTGAATTTATTTCCAAAAGAAAGGGAAATGGAGAACAAATATTTCAGTATTTCAGGGGTATTTTGCGCACCGATGCCACACTGCAGTATCTTGGCTAGGACTGTACTGTGTTTGACTTCCACAGTGATAATTCTCTTGCGGTCACACTGATACAAACGTGACCTGTTTGTTCTTATCTCGTATGGTAGGGTTCTCATGGCGAGACACTTCATTAGTATCAAATCTCATTTTGTACCTTTTTCTGCTCTATTACTGCGGGTTTTGTATCCCACTGACACACCAGATTTCAGTGTGGTTTTTTTTTTTTCCTTTCCTCTCCCCCTCTGCTCGCTGACCCCTCTGGTAAGATGTCACTAATCCCTGAGAAGTTGTGCCTTGGCTGCGTTCAGGGACAGTCTGTGGAAGAGCCGGTCTCCTTCATGACCAAAAGACCTCTGGCAACTTATTTCTGACGCAAGTGGAACCCGTGTTTTCTAGTTTCTTATTGATCAAATCTACTCAGAGTAGAGCAGCAGCACTTTCACTTGAGCAAACTGGTGATTTTTTTGGCCTTATAATTTGCTTGGATATCTGTTGTGCTTCCTTATCAGGTATATAGTAAAAATATTTATAGGCAATTAGAAAGGGGGAAGGGAGAATGAAACAGTGACACTCCTGGCAAGAAAAAGAATTTTTGATCACAGAACCGTGCAATATTAATAAAGATGGCACAAACTGTGTTTGCTTTGGGGGTTGGGGGATGGCCGCTGTAGTATTTGCCTCATGCTCTTGTTAACAGCAGTTCTCGTTTTTCCAGGGTTTGCGCCCAAAGGTGCGAATGTCACGGGCTGAGGGGACAAGGGGCTGGAGAGCGGCTGCGGGGGAGCCGCGGCCCCGGGTCACACCGCGCCCTGTGCTCCCGCCTCTGCTCCCAGGCAGACGGGGAAGATTATTATTATTATAATTATTATTGTTATTTTTATATATATATATATATATATTTTGGTTTTTCCTCCCTCTCTCATGGCTCGGATGGGGGCGGGGCGTCTGCCCGGCCCCTTATCACGAGTGGGCGGCTGTGGGGGGGCTCCAGCCCCCGGGGTGTGTGTGTGTGTGGGGGGGGGTGTGCCCGGCGGCCCTGCCCCCCCCCCGCCCTCGCGCGGTGGCAGCGCCCGCCCAGCGCGCGCCTAATTGGCTGCGGGGGGAGGGGCGGCTCATTAGGGCTGCGGGCGCGCGCCGCGGCTCGCTGGTCGGCGGAGCGCGGAGAGGCGCGGAGCAGCGCGGAGCGAGCTGCTGCCCGGCCGGGCGCGGGGCGCCTCCCCGCTCCGGGGAGCAGTGGGGCCGGGGGGGCGGGGGGAGAGGGGGAAACAGCAAAAAAAAAAAAAAGGGGAATTCTCCTGCTTGAGCTCGACTCCGGAGGGACCGCGAGGAGATTTGCATCCCTTTCTCCGCGCGGGAGTTGCGGGGACAGCATGGGCGGAGGGGCCGCGGGGAGCAGCCGCCCCCTGCGCCCGGAGCGGCGGCGGCTGCTGCTGGTGCTGTCGCTGTGCAGCTGGGCGGCTGCCCTGCGAGGTAAGCGGGGAGGGGGCCGGGCACCCCCCGGGGCCGGGCACCCCCCGGGGCCGGGCACCCCCGCAGCTCCAAGTTTGGAGCGGGAGCACCGCGCTTGGGGGGTGGTGTGTGTGTGTGTCCCACCGGTTGCTCCTTGCGCCGGGACGAGCGTGGGTTGGGGGCGGGGGGTGGGGTGGGGAGCAGCCCCCTCACCCCCGGGTGTGCGCGGGTGCGCTCACGGCAGGGACTGCGGGCACCCCCGCCGGAAAAACAACACCCACCCCGGCCCCCGCGGGGAGAGGGAAGGGGAGACGCGGGAGCGTTGCGGCGGAGCGGGGGGAACGCAGCGCCCGGCTCCTGCCTCCGCGGGCGCCCGGCGTGCGCGCAGCGCGCCCGCGGAACGTCCGCGGCAGCCCCGGCCACCCGCCGGGCTGGCCCCGCATGGCGCGGTTCGGGGCTGGGGGGAGGCAGTGACCCCCTCTGGCAGGGAGAACCCGCTCACCTGGGCAGCCTGCCTGGGGCCGGCTGCGCGCACACGCGAGGGCATGTGTTTTTAGGTACGTGTAAGGTGGATATTTGAGATGCTTGGAGTCTTTATTTTTTTTTTTTTAAAAAAAAAAAGTTTTTCCTGGTAAATGACTTGAGTGAAATAATCTCTTCAGGGCACATAGCCAGAGGATGTCAACAACTCCGCATCGTCTGGCATCCCTGACACCTTGGCTGGTATATCTGGACTTCTCAAAGTACTGAAAGTGCCAGGGAAGAAGGGGGCTGGGGGTAATCTAGTGCTGCGTTACCCTTTTGGGAGAAAGGTGCCTGCTGTTGATAAGACATAGTTTCTGTATTTAGAGTCTGTAATGGTATGTTTGTTACAGATGGCGTATTTTTATAGAACAGAGTAATCAGGCTTTGTAGATCATAAAAGATTCCTCTCACTGTTTTGACACTAGTCCCGCTGTGGAGGTCTCTCTTGGCATGCCTATTGTGTCTGTGCTTCGATTTGCTTTGGTATGTACTTTATTGGGTTTGGTCTCTGGGTAGGAAGCCATCCGCAGGTAGATAGCAGATTAGGGCATCTGGCCACCTCCTCTGCTGTGTTCTCTCATTCAAGTCCAGTGACTGGCCCAGCAGAGAGGGAATCTGAGAGGATTTTGTGTAACAGACGAAATAGGGCCCTTTGGGAAAATAATAATACAGAACAGATCAGTGAAATAAATGATGAGGATAGAGTGAAGTCTAGCATGTCTTGATGTTTTTTTTTTTTTCTTTTTGTAATACTTTAATCAAGAAGCATCTGTGACTGCAGAAAAGTGCATGTGTATTTAAAGCAGTGATGCGAGGTGCTTTTTGCCTTTTGTTTTGCACGTCTGGTAGAACACTGGCAGTTCTTGTGCTGCGTGAAGTACCATCAGGATCAGGCCCTGCCACCATCGGAAATTTCACACTGCAAGTCATGCATAGCAGGGTGACTCTTCTGTTGCTGTTAGGAAACAAATTTCAACTATTTAGTTGAAATTTTCCATGCAGGGCATTGCAAGTTCTAGACTGGAGCAGAATTGATTTTGGACAGTGTTCTGAGGAAAAACTGTATTTTTTCATCAGTTTGGTGTCTAGTCTCTCAGTTGTGATGTTGCATAGTGTTTACTTGTAGCTTTGGTTTAAGCAGTTGACCTCAGTTAACAACCCGTTGAGCCCTAAGATGTTAGTTTGGGAAGTTGTTTCAGAGGCAGCTTTTAGACAAACTGTATTCTAGGATCCTATTCTGAATAGGATTAAAGAAGAGTGAAATGATTGTAGATACCCTTCACACAGCATTTTAAATCTGTTGGAATTAATGTACATATATAGCTTTGGGCTTTTATTTTATAGGAAAAATTGCATAGACGCTATGGTAATTTGAAAATGAGAAGAGTGTTGCTAATATTTATTATCTCATTGATGCATTTAAACTAATTTTGGGTTGCATGTATCTGAATAAAGATGTTTATAAAACAGGAACATTAGTATTCTTCTGTGTCTTGATATTAAAGCTGAAGGCTATGTGTTACATGGTGTTTGTAGATCTGAGTACATTTTGTTCTAAATAAGCATTGTTTAGGGATTTTCCTTTTCCAGTAGTGTGGCACTTACTGTACGGCTTGGTAGCCACTGCACATTGCTAGTGATTTTATTATGATAAAATGCTCCGCAAAGCTATCTAATGCAATACGGGCGGCTCTGTGGACAGGGAGCTGTTGAAGCAAATATCTGCTCCTAGTCTGAAAATTTTTATTTTTTTAAAATTTTTTTTTAACATAAAAAGCACTAATAACATGCAGTCCAGAGAGCTGCATATTTAAAGTATTATTCGGCATCTAGGAACCAAGAAGGCAAACCAGCCTCTGGACAGCAGAGCTCTCGGAGAAATAATGCTTGTTTTAGAAAGGTACAAATAACAGATTCCATTGATACTGAAATAAATGTAGTAGTAAAGGCTGGACTGGTGTACAAGCTATTTGTGTCCTGATTGTACTGTTTGTCTTGGATTTAATAATGCCCTTGTGCAAATTAAATGAGCCTCCATTTATTTCATTAGAAGCGTGCTAGAATTTCATTCATGTTTCTGAGAATTCTGTCCATATTTGCAAAGTACTTCACTGTCACCAGTTCAGAGCTGTGCAAGAGCGATCACGGGTGCTTTATTTGAGGGATGTTGTTGATTTGCTTTGGCCAGCTCTGCTTCAGAGTTTGCACTGAATTAGCAGAGTAGGGAGGTCTATTAGCTGTCCTGATTTCTACATCCAAAAGGAAGTACATTATTTCTGTTGCTTTAGAAAGACTGTCTCAAGTTCTCTTTCTCTGTTCTTGATACCCTGCTGAGAGTAAAGCTGTTTGATTATTTCTAAGTACATTCAACAGTTTATTATTTGAAATATTTCTGACATGCCAGCCCCAACTGAATACACACTGTGTCAGCATATTGATTTATTTGATCTTGAAGTATGCATCTTATTAATATCTCAGCTAGGTGTAGACTTGAACTATTTGTAATGAGTGATACAGGAGTAAATGAAAATACAGGCAAGACACGGGTGGTGTAGGAATCTCTTGTGTGACTTTGTTCAAGTCACTCTGTTGAGATAATGTTTATTTTTGTTTTGTTAGGACAAAGCATTCATTAAAATAACAAACCACGTGCTCCGCTTTAAACCGTCCTTCCGCTCACCCTGTAGTGTGTAGTTGTCTTATGTCGATTTCTCTGTCAGTGTTTATATTAAACTTAGTAACTGCTCAGAAAATTAACTCCTTTACTGGTGAGTTTGTTTATTAAATAGTTTATTATCTTTCTCAGATCTTAGCAGTGATACAGGCTCAGTTTGCCCATGGTATAGCTTTGCTTTTGCTTTCATAGGTAGAGAAGCTAAGGTCTCAAGAGAGAGTGATTAATTTCTCCAAAACTACAGGAAATTTGGGGGCTCTGAAGAACAGGATTTCAAAACTGGGTTCAGTTTTGGAACTCCTAGAGTATCTGTGTGTGTCTTCCTTTTTTTAAGTCATTGTCAAGTTTTGTTAAGGCTTCTATTTAGTCCTGTTTTTTTTTCTCCATTTATTACCGTCCTTGTAATTTGTTGTAGCATAGTTTGTGGGATAATTCAGAGAAAGAGTGGGAAAGTCTCAACATTCCTGTTGAGTACAAGACTGACTTCGGACATGTCAGTGCTCTAGTTTTGTCTGTTATAGGGCATTAATCCTCATGAGGATTGTTTTAATTTGCACTCTGATAATACTTGAGTATATTACTGCTTTGCACAGACCATGCTGTGAATTTCTGGACCACCCCAGATCAGAATGGCAGTAAGTTTTCCTTGTGGTACTCAAACAGTAAACCTGAAGAGCTGTGTGTATGATCCTGTGCTGGAAGCGAGGTGTGCACAGCCTCCATCATGCACTTTCTTTCTAATACATGCATCCCAGTGAAAATATTTAATTTTTGGAAAGACAGGGTAACTCTGCCCTTTAAGGTAGTGTGTGGCAGGGGTGTTTTTTCTTGGCTCATCCTTCGTACACATGTACTTGTTAATGCATGTGCTCAAGATATGTGTAATTTCTGTCTCTTCAGATGTAGAGAATAAAGCTTGATCTGTACAGGGGTGAAATGAGCTTTCCATGCTTTGAAAAATTTTCTCCATCATCGTACAGTAAGAGGACTTTGTATCAAGATGCATTTTCACCAGGGCAGAATAGAAGCTGATCTGATGATATTTCCACAGTGAATTACAGAAGGCAAACACAAATAGTATGATATATGCTAGAATGGAAAATTACTTATGGTGGAAAGGTTTCCTCAGGGTCACTTGATGTATCTTTCTTGTATTTTTAGTCCTGCTTTCTGGTGAAAGGTGGAGTCTGAGAAAGAGAGCAGAATTTTAACACCAGAGGCTGCTGTTTCAGTTGTTTTTGGATGCTGCTGCTGTTGCAGTGAAGCAGATGGTCAGATTCATTTCTATAAAATAGAAAAACATTTCATTTTCTATTTATACTTTCAAAGAACTTTAATAGTCGTGTTGTATCATGTGGCCTTAGCTTAGACATGAGTATTTGTGAGTATGAAATATTTTATGCTCCATCGTCTGCCATTAGAGATCAATAAACCACATTTTAGAGCATCTTGCAAGCAGGTATTAGAAGCTGCTGCCACCACGTACAAGCCTAAGTAATTGGAACCTTGTCACGTACCTGCGTAATTGTGATCAATGGTGTTTTCGGCCATCTTCCCCTCCCCACCCACCCTTCTGTGGCCTTTTTTAACACCTTTCAGAAATGTTGTTAATAAACTGTTATTGTAGGCTCTTGGTTGGTGGAGCCCAGTTACCTGCCCAATCCTGTGTAGTGCCAGATGCTTTGTAGGAACTTCCATGCAGGGGATGTGGGAGGGCAATTGCACTTAGATGTGATGTTGCCTAATGAACATTCTGCTGGCGACTGCTGTAGGTATTTTTGTCTGGGTTTTGCCTGTTTCTCTTTTGAATTTTAAAAAGTTG